GTAATATTCCATTGTATATATAGACCACATCTTCTTTATCCATTCTGTCGATGGACATCGAGGCTCCTTCCACAGTTTGGCTACTGTGGACATTGCTGCTATAAACATTGGGGTGCAGATGTCCTGCCATTTCACTGTATCTGTATCTTTGGGGCAAATCCCCAGGAGTGCAATTGCTGGGTCGTAGGGTAACTCTATTTTTAACTCTTTGAGGAACCTCTACACAGTTTTCCAGAGTGGCTGCACCAGTTCACATTCCCACCAACAGTGCAAGAGGGTTCCCTTTTCTCCACATCCTCTCCAACATGTGTTGTTTCCGGTCTTGTTAATTTTCCCCATTCTCACTGGTGTGAGGTGGTATCTCATTGTGGTTTTGATTTGTATCTCCCTGATGGTAAGTGAGATCTAAATGTGAGACAAGAATCCATCAAAATCCTAGAGGAGAACACAGGCAATACCCTTTCGAACTTGGCCACAGCAACTTCTTGCAAGATACATCTAGGAAGGCAAGGGAAACAAAAGCAAAATAGAACTATTGGGACTTAAGATAAAAAGCTTCTGCACAGCAAAAGAAACAGTCAACAAAACTAAAAGACAACCTACAGAATGGGAGACGATATTTGCGAATGACATATCAGATAAAGGGCTAGTATCCAAGATCTATAAAGAACTTATTAGACTCAACAGCAAAGAAACAAACAATACAATCATGAAATGGGCAAAAGACATTAAAAGAAATTTCTCCAAAGAAGACATACACATGGCCAACAAGCACATGAGAAAATGCTTGTGCTTTTTATGTCATAGCTAGGAAACCCATTGTATAATCCAGCTAAAAATAACACCAGTTTCCTCTAAGAGTTTTGTAACTTTGGCTCTTACACTTAAGCTCTCTGATTCAATTTGCATGTGGATGTCCAGCTCTATGATCCTTTGTTGAAAAGATAATTCTTCACCTGTCTTGGCACTCTGTCAGAAATCAGTCATAAATGCAGAGGCTCATTTCTGGACTCTCAACTTCCAGATGTATATATCTATCCTCATGCCAGTACCACAGTCTTGATTACAGTATGTTTGAAGTAAGTTTTGAAATTGGGAAGTATGATTTCTCCACCTTTGTTGTTATTTTTGAAGGTTGTTTTAGCTATTCTGGCCCTCTTGCATTTCGACATAAATTTTAGGATCAGCTTATCAATGTCTGCCAAAAAAAAAAGGACAACTCTAAATCTGTAGAAAAATGTGGGCAGTATTGCCATCTTAACAATATTGTCTTACCCATGAACACAAATGACTTTCCATTTATTTAAGTCTTTTTTAGTTGCTTTCTAAGTGTTTTCCCTATAAAAGTCTCTCACCTCTTTTGTTAAATTCATTCCTAAGCATTTTAATCTTTTGATTCTAAATGGAATTGTTTTCTTAACTTCATTTTTGGATTATGCATTGTTAGTACATAGAAATATAGTTGATTTTTGTACATTTATCTTGCATTCTGCAACTTTCCTGCACTCATTCGCTCTAGTAGTTCCTTCCTTCCTTCCTTCCTTCCTTCCTTCCTTCCTTCCTTCCTTCCTTCTTTCCTTTCTCTGTGATTTCTTCTTCTTCTCCCTCTTCTTCTTCTCCTCCTCCTTTCTGATGTTCATTCCTTAGGATTTTCCATATTCATAATTATGTGAAGACTTTTCTTTCTCTTGCCTAATCTTCCTGGCTAGAACCTACAGTACAATAGTGAATGGAAGTGATGAGAGTACATACCCTTGACTCATTCATGATCCTAGAGGGAAAGCTTTCAGTCTTTCACCAATAAGTATGCTATTAGCTGTGGCTTCTTCATTGATGTCCTTTATCAGGTTGAGAATGTTCATTTCTATTCCTTCCAGGTTGAGAAGTTTTTGTCATGAGAAGGTTTGGGTTGTCAAAAGCTTTTTCTGCAACTCTTGAGATGACTGTGTGATTTTTTTATTATTGTTCTATTGATATGATTAAATAATTTTTGGACGTTGAACTAACCTTGCCTTTCTAGGATAAATCTGACTTTGTCATAGTGTGTAATCCTTTGTATAGATGGCTGGATTCTGTTTACTAGTGTTTTGCTGATGATTTTTCATCTTTATCCACAAAGCATGTTGGTCTGTAGTTTTCTTATGACTTTTTCTGGCTTTAGGTATCAAGGTAACATTGGCAATTTGTTATTCTGAAAGGTTGGTAATAATTTCTGCTCTTTCATTCCTGATTTTAATAATTTGAATCTTCTCTCTCCTGTCCTGATCATGTAGCCAAAGGTCTATCCGTTTTGTTTGTTTGTTCAAAGAAACAACTTTTGGTTGTATTAATTTTCTCTATTATTTTTCTGTACTCCCTTTCACTCATTTTCACCATATCATTTATTTTTTTTCTTCTGTTTGCTTTTATTTCAATTTGCTCACCTTCTAGTTTCTTAAGATTGTTAATTAAAATTGGGTTATTGATTTGACATCTTGCTCCTTTTTTTAATAGGTATTTACAGATGTAGTGATTTTCTAATTTCATTCAAGTGTAGGCCAAGAACACACTTTATATGATTTGTCTTTAAAAAATGTATCAAGTTTTGAATTATATTGAGACTTATCCTATGGCCCAGTTTATGATCCATCTTAGTGAATGTTTCCTGTACCTTAAAAGAAGGGTATTCTGCAATTATTGGGGGGTTGAGCTCCTAAAATGTCAGACCAAAGGGATTGATAGTGTTCAAAGTTTCTATAGCCATACTGATTTTTTCCTACTTTTTCTTCAATTGCTGAGAGTTGCTACTTTGACAAACATGATGATAGATTTGTCTGTTCTTCCCTTAAGCTATGGGGTTTTGCTTTACTTATTACAAAATTATGTTATTAAGTGCCTGTACATTTAGGATTAAATTGGCTCTCTTGTCCTTATGAAAAATCTCTCTTTATCTTTGTTAGTTCTCCTTATCTTGAAGTCAGTTTTGGGGTGTCTGGATGGCTCAGTCAGTTAAGCATCTGCCCTTGGCTCAAGTCTTGAGATTGAGCGGGTCGGGGCTCCTTGTTTGGTGGGGAGCCGGTCTCTCTTTTTCTGCATACCCCTCCCCCCGCTTGTACTGTGTGTGTGTATCAAATAAATAAATAAAATCCTCTTAATTTTTTAAAGATTTCATTTATTTATTCATGAGAGCCAGACAGAGAGAGAGAGAGAGAGAGAGAGAGAGAGAGAGAGAGAGAAGCAGAAACACAGGCAGAGGGAGAAGCAGGCTCCATGCAGGGAGCCAACATGGGACTCGATCCCAGGTCTCTAGGATCAAGCCCTTGGGCCAAAGGTGGCGCTAAACCGCTAAGCCACTGGGGCTGCCCTAAAATCTTCTTTAAAAAAATGAATTGTGTCTAATATTTACATAATATCAGCTTTTCTTTAGCTTACCATTTGGAGTGGTATATCTTTTTCTGTCTTTTGTGCTAGGATATGGCCCCAGTGCTTGATCTTTACTCTTAAGGTGTGGCCTTTCTGAGCTGTCAACTTAATGTCCAAGATACTCAGTGAGGTCTGTCCACTCTGGGATGGAACTCCATCAGGTGACCACCAGTGTCTGGGCTTTGCAGACTCTCCCTCTACATGTGCACTCCAGTCCTTAGCCAAGGATCTACCAGAAACCCCCACATGGACTTCTCCTCCTCCCCACCCCCGCCCGCCGCCATCCTCCCCTGTGTAAATCCCTCCCCTCTGGTTCTCTGACCTGAAAATGTCAATTACTTCATCAGATTCAAACTCTGCTCTCTGCCACCATCCTACACCGTGATCTAGAAAGTGCCTCTAGGCTAAACATCATGGTGAACATGAGGCTTCACTCATTTGTTTTCCCTCTTTCCATCTGGCTGTTGCCTTTTTCATGGATGAAAAGTGAAATTCCCATTCTTAGTTTCTTTAATTTCATAAATTAAAATGCACACAGTAAAAAAAATAAAAGTGTATATATAGGAAGTTATTTGGTAAAGAGTGTCTCAGCCATCTTGAATCTAAATATCCCACTTTCTCTCCCCAGAGGCAACCAATGTCACCAGCTTCTTAACTATCCTCTCAGTGCTATTCTCTAGATGCTCCCTCTGAAAAGCAGGAATTACAGATATCACAAACTTGCTTTAAGAGACACCGCTGATGTCCTGCCCTTACCCCATGTCCTTGCGATTTCCTGACACTCTACACTGACTACTTCCAACTCTAACTACCTGGCTTTCCTTGCCTGCAGATTTCGTCTGGTCACAGGAGTCCTCTCAGCCTGTGCCAGGGCAGGCTGCAGTGCCAGGAACTTCATGCCTCCCTCTAAGAACTGACCTCAACCAATGACTAGCAGGAGTTGACACATAATCGTGCCATCCTCTTGCCTCTCCACTGGGATCACCAAGGTACATTCAACACTGTCTCCCAGAGCTCCCCAGGGGGATTGAGTCTCAGTTGCTGAAAAAATAATCTGCTCAGTAGCACACACTTTGTTGTCTTCTCTCCCTTTCCCATCTCACTTCCCTCTCTCCTCCCAGTGCTTCCTGGGATAAACTATTTACTAGGCCTGTCTCAAAGTCTGCTTCTAGGGAGAAGTGACCCAAGACTCCATAACTTACAGTTTGATTTGTTTACCTAACAATGTATGTCTGAGATCATTCCACATTGTTTCCAGCATCCAACCACTTCTTGACACTACTGTGTGGCTCAGGCCACCATTATCTCTCCCCTGGTTGCGGCAGTGACATCCTAAAAGGTTTTCTTGCTTTTGCTATTGTGTCCAGTTCCTAGCTCATCCTCAACACAGCTCTGGGGGTCCTGCTGATTCTACCAGGGTCTCTCCTCTGCTTAGAGCCCTCTACTGGCTCCCCATCATACTCAGAGTAAATAATGAAGTCCTTGATAGCTGTTGGGGCCCTACATGAACCGACCTCACCTATTCTCTCCCCATTACTTTGTCCCAGCCATTCTGGTCTCCTAGGTTTCTGGAATATACCAGGTATTCTTGAACTCACCTGCTCATTCTTGAGCCTTTGCTCTGGCTATTGCCTCTGCTTGGGGGAACTCTTCCTCAGGTATCTTCATTTACTTCCTTCAGGACTCCATTTTGGTGGATCTTCTCTGTGAGGCCTCCTCAAGAAACAATTTATTTATTTATTTATTTATTTATTTATTTATTTATTTTTTATTTTATTTTATTTTATTTATTTATTTTTTTAAAGATTTTATCTATCCATTCATGACAGACATAGAGAGAGAGAGAGGCAGAAACACAGGCAGAGAGAGAAGCAGGCTCCATGCCGGGAGCCCGATGCGGGACTCGATCCTGGGACCCCAGGATCGCGCCCTGGGCCAAAGGCAGGCGCCAAACCGCTGAACCACCCAGGGATCCCCCTCAAGAAACAATTTAAATTTTAACACCTCTCTCTCACCATTCCTATCTTCCTTCCTTATCTTATTTTTTCTCTGTCACATCTCAGCAACATGTAATGCCCTGGAATCACCTTTTTTCTCCTTGAGTGTCTTTTATTCTCTCACTTGCCAAACATAAGAACAATCTCAATATAGTATGCTATTACTACCACCATCATCATTCTGTTCAGACCTGGTTTATAACCTGAGCACACCATGCCATAGTTATTCACATGTCTGTTGTCCTCATCAGGTGTTCTCCAAGGGCTGGGCTCAGGGCTCTTTGAGCTACATGTCTGGGTGCCTAAGACAGGGTCTGACACAGCCAAGGCCCCTGTAAGTGTTTAATGAAGCCTGGGTCCTTTTCTAGCACCATGTATGGAGCAGGCAACAGACAGCTAGAGCAAAATGAAACCAGAATGAGAAAGCTTTCTTTGAACATCTGGAATTGGCATGACTGCCCTCAGGGCAGAGAGAGGAAGGCTCCGATTGATTCTCTAGGCTCACTGGTAAAGTCCTTGACACAAACATCAGGACTGCTGGGGAGGCCTGGACAGAGAGACAGGGCCTGGAACTCAAGCTGAGCTGAGTTTCAGTCCAACTCTGACACATCTGTGTGACTTTGGACAAGTCCCTTCATCTGCATGAGCCTTGTTGCCTCATCTGTAAAATGGGCATGACAACACTTACCTAAGTGGTTATGTGTATTGGGGTACCACTAAGGCACCTGACACAAAATGGATGCTACATATATGACCATACGAGGCAAATTTTTACCTAGCACTTCCCATAGGCCCGGCCTTGCAAACAACCCTTTATAAGCACAATCTCCTCTAATCCTCACAATACACCCCACCAGGGAGGTGCTATTATCACCTACCTTTTACAGACGAGGAATTTAAGGCTTAGAGAAGTAATGTGATTTTCCCTAAAGTGACCCAGCTAATTAGTTACAGAGCAGACTTCAAACCAAATATGTCCAGGCCAGAATCTGTGTCCTTAACTGTATTCTCCCCACTTTCCGCAGCCTTTCTTAGGATTTCCTCTCTTCTCCTGCCCCCCAAAGACCAGGAGATAGCATTACCTAGAGGCCAGGGACCTGGGTATTGATGATAAGTGACTTTTCACCTCTATCATTTACTGACTATATGGCATTGAGCCAGTTATTTGCCCATTCTGAACCTCAGTTTCTGTATTCATTTCCCAAGGCTGCTCTAATGAATTACCACAACCCAGTGGCTTAAAATAACACACAGTTATTATATCACAGTCTGTAGCTCAGAAGTGTAAGGGGCTCAGCTGGGTACTGTGCTTGGAGTCTCACAGGCTGCAATAGAGGTGTTGGCCAGTCCGGGCCCTTGCTGGAGGCTCTGGGGTAGAACCCACTTCAAAGTGGAGTCAGGTTGTAGGCAGGATCCAGATGGTATGGCTGTAGGACTGAGGTCCCTGTTTCCTAGCCAGCTATCAGCTGGGAGCCAGCCTCTGCCTCTAAGGGCTGCCAGCACTCCTCAGGCAAGCCCAGTCTCTTCCATGCTTTGGACCTCTCTAGCTGCTCTTTCTGCTTCTTCTTTGTCACTCCAGCTCAAGAAAGTTCTCTGCTTTTAATAGCTCATGTAATTAGATTGGGTCCACCAGATAATTTCCCTATTTTAAGATCTGTAACTTTAATTACATCTGCAAAGTTCTTTTGCCATGTAATATAGCATATCCACAGGCTCTTGGGATTAGGCCACTGACATCTTTGGGAGGAGCTGTTCTGCTTTCCACAGTTTCTTTTGTTCCTTTATTCAACACATATTTATAAGCGATGTAGCAGATACTGTGAGTGCTGTCAGCACATGCCCAGCCCAGCTTCCCACAGCCAGCCTCTGCATCACCTGGCCACAAGCTTTTCCCAGCCAGATGCCAGAGTGATTTCGAAGAGTCCCCTAGAGTAGGACAGAAGCGCTGGGGAGCTCACATACACCCAGCAGCAACTGTCAACCTATGGCTGGTGGAATTAGTGGATAAATCCCCAACTCCATCCCCCTTCAGATGGGGTAACTTGGAGATGTGTGTGTACACTGGCTGCTGGCTGGCTTCATCTCCAATAGCCCAGGGTGGTAACTTAACAGAGCACGCTTTCCCCGCTGCCTCCTTGTGCCTCACTCCTCCCTACTTGCCTCAGATCTCGCCAATTTTTTTTTTTTATTTATTTATGATAGTCACAGAGAGAGAGAGGCAGAGACATAGGCAGAGGGAGAAGCAGGCTCCATGCACCGGGAGCCTGATGTGGGATTCGATCCCGGGTCTCCAGAATCGCGCCCTGGGCCAAAGGCAGGCGCCAAACCGCTGCGCCACCCAGGGATCCCAGATCTCGCCAATTTTTGCTGCTACCCTTGTTGCGGGGTCTCCTCTGGGGGTAACCAAGACCAGCATTTGTGACATGACAGCCATGTTCCCCATCTCATAGCATCACTGTGAGGATTAAATGAGATAGTGCTTGTAAAGGCTTCATTATAATACTGGCACACAGTGAGCACTCAGTAATTGGCTGACTAGATCAACAACACCTCTGCTAATAGTAATCATGTCTCAGACCCAACTCTGAGGCCAAAGGCCAGGCTAGTGGCTGGCCAGTTTAAAGGGAACCGGTCACTCTACAGGCAGATCCATTATCAAACAGGGACTAAATTGCCTGGCTAAGTGCAGAAGAAGGTGGTAGGTGTTGTTATAGCAACTGATGAGCCTTTCTGTGTCCTCAAGGCCAAGTGGGTGGTGGAGCAGGGGAGGAAGAAGCTCCTCAAAGGATACCATCAGGAAGCAAAGGGGGGCAGGCCAAGGGAAGCCCCACATCCCTTGCTCCATCCTGGCCTGAGAACCATGACTTCTATGCCCTGAGACTAGCAGGGGGCCAGGCAGGCTGCTTCCCTGCTGGGGTGAGGGGCGCAGAGGTGATCAGAGGCCAGGCAGGGGGAAAAGCATGCAAGCCATAGCCCTCAGGCCCTTAGCTCTGAATAATCACAAGGCTATAAGCTTTATGGACACAGGAAAGCAGGTCCTCACCCTGGGTGGAGTGAGTGCTCTGGAAGTGCTATTCTTAAAATAGAATCTGAAAGCTCTGGAATGGAACTGGTCTGGCCCTTGTAGACCTCGATAGAGGAACTTGCTAATGACTAGTGGTGCAGCCACATCCAAGCTAAGAAGCCAAGTCATCTCTCTTCCCTTTCTCCCTTCCCTGCCCCGTATGATATTGATGCATATCTTTGCATTGTCATCCTCTGTGAATTTTGTGACCTCTCTCCCATCTGTCCATCCATCCATGGGTATATTGAACTCTGCCATATGCCAGGGACTAAGCCAGGCAAGAGAATCATGATCTTGGCCTTCTTGAGACTCATGAGCTCATGGGAGAGGCAGACATACAGACAGACTATGGCCATCCAGAGAGGAAAGCTCACAATGTAGGTGGTAGGCCAGCAGTTCCCAACTGATAGCCCATGGTATGAATTCATCCCACTGAAATTTTTTAGAGTATTTTAAAAATAAGTACATTTAGCATAAAATTCTTAAGTTTTAGGTTCTCATGAAAAATAAGGTGATCTGGTAATCCTGAGCCTCATGGTGACAATCACTAGAACCTAGTAGCATAACCTCTCATGTTCTCTCCAGTTCCCACTGCCCCCTATTGTCCTACACCTGGCCCCAGGCATTTCAATCAACTTGCCAGAAGTAGGGTCAGGACAACTCAATACAGCAAAAAAACACCTCAACCTTAAAGGTCTAGCCTCTGAATAGCTAACAAGGCTGAGCTACAGTGGAAATCACAGCCCTTGCTGCAGTGATGTCATAGATGGAGATGTGTCAGCCGGGGTGAGTTAGGAGAGAAATGTTCAGAGAGCACCATCCTAAGCACAGGTTCTGGGACCCTCAGGCCAATGCCACCAGGTATGCAGCCCGGGAACATTGATAACCCAGCCTAACCACTGGCATAGGAACCCTGGTTGCCACATCTGCTTCTCCAGCTTTGCCTGATTCAGGGAATTCTTCAAGCTCACTTCACAGCTCTGAGGGTTCTGGACTGTCACTCTGGGTGTCTGTCAGAACCTGGATTAAGTACTTAACTATGCTATGTGTTGCCGGAGGTCTGTGCTTCAGTTAGGAGTCTTAGAATGCAAACTGCAGAAAGAGACTCAAGCTAATGTAAGCAAAAGGGAACTAAGTGGATTCATATTGGGGGGCTTGGAACTGAGCGAAGGTTGGAGAACCTGGCTGGGATGGAGGCAGGAACCCAACCAATGTCAGAGGGCTAGGATGCTAGGACCTTGAGAGTGGAGCTGTAGCAAGGGCAGTCTGGTCAGGATGTCACCTCCTGATGAGTCAAGTCCAACTGCTTTCATGTCTTTGTCCCTCTGTTAGAGTTTCAGATTCCCAAGAGAGATGATCAGTAAGTTTGTTGGTAGGTCCTGGGTCAAAATTTTAGGTTGGAGGAAGGTTCCTGTCTTTACTCCCATTAACTATACCAAAAGGTGGAGGTAAGTCCTCAAAAGAAAATTGTCAGGGATTGGAGTCAGACTCCTTCGAATATGCCTTGTTTTCTAGACTTGGCTTGGGAAGCATCCAAAATTTTTACATGATTATAAAAGTTTTAAAAATCACTAAAAGTGAAATACAACAAGCCTTAAAAAGGAAAACATTGTGGATGTAACCAGACAGGGAAGAATTATGATTGAAGACACAGT